AAGTAAATGAGAAAATCATCACTTATTTATATTCAATTCAGATCTGTCGTCAGAGAGCTTTCTGTGAGAAGGATATAACCATGTAAAAATTAGGAAGCAAATATAACTGATGACAAGGCCTGAAAGTGGAATAATAGTAATGAAGCCACCCATCATCTAAATATGGAAGAACAGCTTACAGGAAGAATTAAAGCCACTTGGCCAATGCCGAAATGTAAAACTTGTTACAAGGCACTTCACTTACCATTTGGGATTGCGGCATCATCGGCACCGCCATCGGCGGTGGAGGCATTGCTGGGTAATTATAATAGCCTGGCTGGGCGTAGCCTAGGCCCTGTGGTGGTGGGGGTGGATAGGGCCCTGGAGGTGGCTGTGGGGCAGGGTAGCCGTAGTGCATCGTAGATGCGCCTGGAATAGCCGGTACAGAGCTGTAGGGCATCTGTGTAGCATAGTTTGCATTTGAAGGAGCGTTAAGGGGAGCTAAATAAAATAAAATATCCAAGGATATTAACAATCAAGCTTAAAAAACACAAGAATTCGAAGTTAATCAGGAAATTAGAAACAAAACTTATTAAGGAACGAGATGAAAAGGCTTAGATTTCATCGCGCAGGAAGACTTTTTTAACTCCCTATACATATATATATATATATACACCTAGGTTTTAGAAAATAAATGTTAAATAATAAGGGATCAGGGATCATTAAATGGGGGACCAGGCATTCACATCATAAAATGGATACGTTATTTAAAGTAACCAAAAACAAAGTCAGTAAAGTGAAGTAGAATGCTTCAGTTAGAGTAGATTGGAGCATAGCTACCCTGTAACTGTACATAATAGGGGAGGACTAGCAAACTATTCTTGTAAAATCTTTATTTTGTAGAGTAACCAACTTTCAAACTTGGCTTCTATGGTGTCGACAAAGTTTAGAAAATCTTCCGTGTCGTATAATCAACTTTGAAAATCCTCTAAGCCAGAAGACTGACAGATAGAATATATAAAATAAACGGATCAATGAGTGGTATTTAGCTCAAAATATTTAAGCAGATAAGCAAAAACTAAAATATGATTGAGGATTCAACAGGTTAAGAAATCGATGTGATAAACAATTGGGAAATCCCAAATGACTACCGAGAAATTATTATCTTCCAATAAATGAGGAAAATAAAAGTGACAAAACATAAGGACACGTAAAAATTTTGAAGCATTTCATTAAATCAATAATATTTTGTCGTGAAGAGTCTTGTCGAAAGATAAGTACGATTCGATGTAATAAATTACCTCATGATGACGTGCTCGTTTCAGTCAGATTTAAGGAAAAATTGCTTTATATCAATATATGACGTGAAATAAAAGATTTTCGCAACTTGGTCATATTGGAAGGAAGATCTTGAGGAATGCAGCTTGTCAGGAGTTCATAATATGCATGATAATTTCCAGAGTTGGACCATTGGTTTGGTACATTCTCAAACGTTTTGCCGGCATCTTCAATGAACCTTGCCAGCCTTAGCAGCACACTACAACTCGTCAAAAAGACAAGGGAAATCGATCCTTTGACCAATTGTCCACTAAACAGTGGTGGTATATCTCCTGTCCTGGGCTATTCACCTATCCTATATCCTCGTATCACCCCTTTCATATCAAAATTTATTGTCTATCTAAACCTATTCACACTCTCCGCTGGCATCCACATCCCTCCCACTGTGCCAGGAGTGTTAATCCAGGGCTGCAGTTTAGTCCGCAATCCCCTCCCTCCGGGTCCTATCAGAGTCCCCTTCTTGCTCCGTAGGATCCTTTCCTTATCTGCCTGTTTCACTGATTTCACTCCATCGCTGTCACCGTATATTTGCAACTCAAGGCATTATCTTCTACACTGCCTCAAGAGTTTGATAGTACGTACACCCCAGCCTCACTGAGCAAACCCCTAAAAACCGGATCCTCAATTGGCAAGGCAACCTAACTTGACACTGCAGATTCCCTTATCACTGTGCGGGATATGCACCGAGTGAAGCTCGTGGTCAAGCCTTTACTTTTTAAACCACGTCTATGAGCAAACTTATCTACTAATAGCTAACTATAAGTGGCCACCAAGGTTTCTCTCGCTCTGCTATAACCAATGCCAAGTCTATGACTTTCTCTTTCGTGCCGACCCCCAAATGTGATTGTTCTACTTAATCTGAGAAATCAAAAGATGAATGATGAATTCGTTAATACAAAATGACCCAAGACCACCGACAGTCTACGGACTACCGACGATACACAACAAAGGAAAACCACTAAAGTTAATAGTCAACTACAAGCATTGAGCAATACACAAATTAGCGAAATTTATATTCCTGAAGCTTAAGAAAGTAAACGACAGGCTCTTGAACATCGTGAAGAATTCATAAAAATTTTCTCAACGGATCAAAAATATTGCACTGGCATGGTCGAAAATGTTGGTGAGTTTTGACGTACGATCCATGTACACAAAAATCTAAGACAAGAAGACAGTCACCGCCCTGCTGGAGTTCAGTGAGCCTTAAGATAAAAATTCGTAGGATTTTGTGGAATTGCTGGATCAGCAGACACTTTCAGAAGACGATAAGCTAGTAAATTTTGATGTTGTGGCTATGTACACAAACATTTCTGTTCAAGTAGCTATTCAATCTCTGATACAAACTCTGGAGGAGTATCCAGATATAACACAAGGAATAAGGCCGAATGTAGATTCCATTATTAGACTTATTAATTTAGCCATGAGTACAACATATTATACTTTTGATGGTAAGTTATACGAACAAACACAATGATTAGCGATGGGATCTTGCCTATCTCCAATCTTAGCGAACAATTATATGGTAAGATTGGGGGAACACTTACTACAAGAGGAATACTAATCCCCAAATTCTTGGTTAGATACATGGATGATTATTTTGTCATCTGGCTCCATGGTAAGAAAAGTTTAGATAGTTTCCTATTTTCACTCAACCAGCGTGAAAGGAACATTATAGTTAACGATGGAAAAGAATAAGTCCTTACCTTTGCTGAATGTTCCCATCCTTAGAGAAGAGGGTAGGTTAAAAAGATATGTTTATGGAAAGCCAAAATATGTTGGCTCTTGGCTTAATTTTCTCTCCAACCATAGTTACAAGCCTAAGGTTGGAATTATGAAGTCAATGATTATTGAAAGTATGAGGCTAGCGAATAGCAAATATTTGACTAAAGAGTTGCGACGACTGACAAATATATTCCTGAAAAATAATTATCCTTTGGGCCTTATTGAGAATAATATCTCTCATGTCCATGTTCCAATGTCCTATTTTTGCCGTCATGCCCTCTCTCAAAAAAGATAGGCGAATTGGTAAAGAAGTGGGACATAAAAACAGTGTTCAAAGAAACCCTCACACTTTCTTCTCTTATGCCATCTTTTAGAGAAATATGACCCGTTATCGAGATCGGGCTGCTACAAGATTTTTGCTCATGTGGTAGATGTTATCTTGGTGAGACATGTCGACCTATTCGACAAAGATTGACAAAACACTAAAAATGCTTGCAAAGGAAGCTAGATCCAGCAGTCAGAGGCAGGCAAACACATTGTAGAAACTGGACATGAAATAGAATGGTCTCAAACTAGTAGGTTTGTTGATCATGGTACGTTTGTGGTTAAAAGAAAGATAAGAGAGGCTATTTAAATTTATATCTTAGAAAATACGTTGAATAAGTGGGACGGAGGTAGAAAGTTGAGTAGGAACTACTTATGCTTGATTGATAGATTGAAATAGAGAGGATGCTGAGTCGCTGTCAAAAAGAATGCGACTCAATTTGTCGGCTCAGTGACGGTTCTAACTTCACTCACACTCATCCAAAATGTCAAATTAGTCTCATCAACCAAACCAGACGTGCCAGATTAAACAACCCCATTCATGCCTTTCCTTGGAGGGTCAAACGTTAATGACCCTAGACTGAAAGGTTAGGACAAGTGGCTTTGAAACTTGGCTTTCATGCTTACAAGCTTATATCTCATTATCTCAACCATACTTGCTTATGGGCTTACGCAGTCTCGGTCAGAGCTTTCTCTTGGGTCATTAGGCCCTGGTGATCAGGGCCTGAAATTAGCCTTTTGACAACTCTCATTTAGGTCAGATATTGCGTAATAACACACGCACACATTCGAGCAAAATTAACAGAACCAGTATGAAAGATAATTAGCCAAACCACTCTATATCGATCTATCTAGGTTTTTAATTTTTTTTTGCCTTAATTGAATCTATATAAGAGGTAAGATAGAAACATAGAGTTAATGTGAGACTTTTACAAGAATGACACCCAGCTCTGAGGATATCCATTATATGATGGACGAAAGCTCAGCATGTTTTCACCCGAAACGATGGAGGAAGTTTCGTGGACTGCGTTAACATAAATATCGTATAAAAGCCAAACGGCTGCAGTATAACGGGATTTATCCGTCCTCATCTAGTGAGATTGACCAACGAATCTCTTCTTCATGCACTTTCATACGAAATGAAAATCTACCAAACGATGTTATCTCAGGAGATTAATCGAAACCCAGTTTCTCATCGTATCTACAACATAGGTTGAATCAAGGAGACAACCTGTAAATGGATATCTGCAAGCATGGGCATCAGACCCTAGGTACTCTGCTTGGTGAGGCGGCAGTGCACGTGCTTCTAGGGCCTTGAAAAATAGCGCATGGAGTGAAATGCATACTGGGACTGGAACCAAGTGAAATCGGTCAACCAGAAAGAGAAGGAACTGAACTACGGGACCATGAGGGGACCCTGATTTAAGGTGTGTTTGATTAGCCGATCGAAAGAGGGGTTCGGGGTGAATAGCAAGTGTGATGAGGCCACACAAGATTTGCCACAAAAGGGCACACATTTTGACGAGCGGAATGTAAACGAGTGAGAAGTTGTGATAGGGCGGGAATTGGATAAGAGGGTAAAGAGTAAATAGATATGCCAGTACAGAAATAGGAGTGATAGTGTAACCGTCTTCGGCAGAACTTTTGTCGAGGGATTGGCTTCAATTGTCTCTGACGAGTTCGAAACTTGGTGCGGAGAATGAAAAAACTCACTGATGATGTCGACTACGATGCCGACGAAACGTTTGGAG